TGAATCCACCTTCTACTTCCTTTGCCTCCTGAAAGGCAAAGCCTAACATCTGTCTCTGTTCAACACACACAAGACCAACACCACACTGTAACAGAGTAGAAGGCAATCAGTCTGTATGTTTTAAATGATTCTATGACCATTTGACACGACACCGATCACATACGCGTTAGCCTCAGCCTGGCGGGACTCGGCTTGGGGGTTCAGTTAAAATACACATATGAACTTCGAGTGTCTACAAAATACACAATATAAAGGAAAGAAGATATCAGAGTACTACTGAATAACTATAGCCATGTTCTACTGTGTACCCTCCTCACCACCCTCTCTGCCCCCCCAGGCCTCCCGGGACCCTGTAAGGACATCTCGTCCAGCGAGGTCACCAAGAACTCATGCCGGATCAGCTGGGAGGCCCCCGAGGACGACGGCTGCTCCCCCGTGCTCAGCTACACCCTGGAGCGCCGCGAGGCCTCCAAGAAGACCTACATGCCCGTGATGTCGGGCGAGGACGTGCTGACAGCCGTCGTCAAAGACCTCTACGTCAACTGCGAGTACTTCTTCAGGGTCCGGGCCGTCAACAAGGTGGGGGCCGGGGCCAACCTGGAGCTGCGCAACGCCGTCATCACGGAGGAAGTCAAACGTGAGTCATACCCTGAAACACTGATGAGATCAGAGGTTTGAAACATGAGGAAAAAAGAGTCGTTCTGTAGCCTCCTTGTTAGCATGTTAGCACGTTAGCATGTTTTTGTGAATGATGGATAAATATAGTCAAACACAGATAAGATAAGAATAAGATAAGAAGTACTTTATTGATAATCATTTGTGAAATGTTTGCGTTGCAAGCAGCATAAAAATACAAAGCATTGTACATTAGAGTAATGAAAATATAGTGTTTATTAATAATTAAATGTATATATTATAGAAATGAAGAATACTAACCACCTATGGTTGCCTCTGCAGAGAAACCGGACCCCCCCATCGCGGTGGAGGCCCGGGACCCCACCTGTAAGTCCATCACAGTGACCTGGAAGGCTCCGGACTCTGATGGCGGCTGCCCGATCACCGGATACATCGTGGAGAAGATGGAGAAGGACGGAGATCGATTCGACCGCGTCACGCCCACCCTGGTGCCCGGCCTCAGCCACACAGTCACCGGCCTGACGGACGGGGCGGAGTACCAGTTCAGGGTCCGGGCGGAGAACGCCGCGGGGGTCAGCGAGCCGTCCCGCAGCACGCCGCTCACCAAGGCTGCAGACCCCGTCGGTACGGAAACACGGACATTTATTACTATTATTATCATTGTTATTATTATTGACAACAGAAATATAGATGTTTCTTGTTTTCCACTCAGATTTTAAAGCAGGTTAAACATATATCTCTGATTTATTTTGATATGAACTGTGTGTGTGCAGAGAAACCCAGTGTGACGCTGCACGCCCGGGTTCAGTCCGGAGTGTGTGTGAAGAAGGGCGAGGAGGTCCGGATCGACGCCCTGATCTCCGGGTCCCCGTACCCCCGGGTCACCTGGCTCAGGAACGACGAGGATGTCACCAAGAAACCAACGAAGAAGACCGCCCCCGTCAAGAGGAGGAAGTCCAAGACTCAGGTCAGAGACACACAGCATTTATACTATATACAACCTATAACCACACAGATATCCAGAGTATTAGTAATATATATAATAATATAACCTGTTAAATACAATATATGTATATAGTCTGCAGTATAGTATTTATCTAGTATTTATATATGTGTGTGTGTTGCAGGCGTGCGAGGAGGAGGAGGAGTTCTTGAACCCCCTCAGCCAGCGCCTCGGTCTGGATCAGAGCGTTCGGGGCCGGGCCGGGCTGATGATCCGCGAGGCGGTGAGGAGCGACCACGGAGAGTTCACCGTCACCGTGGAGAACCAGCACGGCACCGCGTCCGCCCGCTGCACCGTCAACGTGCTGGGTGAGGAGCTCACCCTGCGTCTGAGACCTGGGTTAACCTGCGTTTAAAACTAGACCCACACCATAACGCATGTATTCTCTAATCCCCCCCAGATAAACCCGGCCCCCCGGTTAACATCACCTTTGAGGACGTCAGGAACACCTCGGTGGTTCTGAACTGGGAGCCCCCCCTGGACGATGGGGGCAGCGAGGTGCTGAACTACATCCTGGAGAAGAAGGACAACCGTAACGAGGAGGTGGGCTGGATCACCGTGAGCTCCACCCTGAAGACCCCCACCCACGCCGTCACCAAGCTCATCGAGGGCAAGGAGTACGTGTTCAGGGTCACAGCGGAGAATAGGTTTGGCTGTGGACCCCCCAACACCTCCAAGCCCCTGGTGGCCAAGAACATGTTCGGTACGTACGAGCAGCACTGAGTACATATTAATATAGATAATGAATACTCCAGAGAATACCAACACTGTAGCAACAGAGGGACGGCAGAACTACAACTGCTTCCCAAAGGAATAGCATACGTACCATAGGACATGTATACATATACTGTAAGTATGCTGTAGTAGTGTAAGATGCTTCATTTAATAAAAATGTTTAATTTGAGAATATCTTATAAGATGTTCCTTCAATGAGTCGTATATATGCAGAATATTTGGAATAAAGTTGTACATTTGATAAAATAATAGGTTATTTCCAGGATCAAAATCATGCATTTAGTGGCACAAGAAGCAGGGGATTAAAGCTGAAACATTTCCAGGAGAAACACTCAGACATTTTCTGAAGTCTTACAAAAGTAAATTGAATAAACTGTTGTAATAATAACGACCCCCCTTCCCTCCAGACCCCCCCCCCCCCCCCCCCCCCCCCC